GTACTAAGGATTGAAATTTATTTATGTTGGGAAGAGAAGAGGGTGAAGTGGTGGCAGTTGGAAGCAAAGAAAAAAGAATAAAGAAATTGGGTTTTATAGGGAAGCATAATTCGCGTGGTCTAGAAATGAATTTAGCTTGAAGAACTTTTTGACCAATTATGTTAGTTAAGGGTTTTTAACCGTTTTAGAAAGTACATTAGAGGCCTTTAAACTTAAAACAAGAACTTCTTTCAACTCAAAATATTGTTATTTACACTCCGATGCCCCAAAATTTTGATAAGAGCAGACGCTCTTGAACAAAAATCATACCTGTCTACCTTAATGTGGGGAATGTGAGATATCTTGTCCCATTCGTCACCAGTCCTGTCCCCGTAAAGTGAAGCTAGACATAAGGAGTCCTCGACGGTCAAATACTCCAGAGACGATGCCATACGAAGGAGGCAATGTGGCAATGCCTTTAACTTGTTGCAATCAACGATTTCTAACTCCCTGAGACATGGCATTATTGAGAGATGGTCTTTTTCATCCCCAGTTATATCCTGCCACTTTTCCCAGTTGTCACAAAACATAAAACGCAATATCTTCAACTTGGGGAATGCAGGTCCCGCATTCGGTAGTTCCTGGATTGTCTCCATTATTCCCAAGAATTCGTTGCCCACGTATTTCATGCTATCCATGAATGCTATATGAAGCTCCTCAAGCATCGGCAGTTTTCCCAAAGGGGGCAAATATGAGCAATTCGTAAATCCTTCGAAACGAAGCACCCTTAAATAGTTAAGGGACGTGGTGATCCACACTGGGAATTGGGTGCTTATGTATCCATACATTCCTAAATGATGCAGGTTTGGAGGTGGTTGAAGAGCCTCCATTATGTCCACCCTCACCTCCCCATAAAAAGTGAATTCCAACTCTTGAATGTATATCTTATTTTTCAATTCTGCATTCTCAGCGTCAACCAAGTCTTCTAACTCACTCAAGTCTTCTAGATTAAGTTCTAGAGATCCTCGAAGTTGGTTTAGTTCTTTCAAGTATCCCAACTTTGTCGATCCTCTTCCTGCAATTAAACCGCTCAAAATCCAAAGACCGGTCAATCTCTCCAGTCCTTGAGGAATTGAATTCATACTCCAACCTATTGGAAAGAGAAGGTGTCGTAGATTTATTAGTTTATAGATCCCTTGAGGGAGTGCAGAGAGACCGCGACATTCTCGGAGATCCAAGGTTTGCAAATTATACAAATCACACAAGGTTTCTGGGAGTTCTCTTAGAGGATTGGAGCTGAAGTCAAGATACCTCAAGTGAATCAATTTTCCTATCTCTTGTGGAAGTTCTTGCAAATCACAATCGCTCGCAATAAGTACCCGAACACATTTTAAACGACTAAGGAGATTTAAAGGGAGACCTTCTTGAGAAACATTTCTAGCACAAAAGGTGCGAACTTTTCCGATATCACAATTCGTAATCTCTACTCCACCATCCAAGATTAAGCTGTACTCATCTTTATAGAGATAAGTAACGAAGTCATGCATTATATCATGCATTTTGCAAGAGATTTTACTTTAATCATAATTAT